TTGCAAGCACAGGGACCCGAGTTTGATCCCTGGTACCAAAAAAAAAAAAAAGAAAGAAAGAAAGAAAGAAAGCTGATTTAGCTTCTTGTGAGGGCACATACCTGAAAGACCAGCATTCTGGGAGGCTGAGGAAGGAGGATCACAAGTTCCAGCCCACAGTTTAGCAGCTTAGTGAGAGCCTATTTCACAAAAATGTTACAAGAAAAGGCTGGGTTCATAGCTCAGTGCAAACCCCTTGGATTCAATGCCCGGTAATATGTGGAAATTGGCTTTTAAAGCAAAAATTAAAGAGGGACTTGTAATACATGTAGAAGTTTAATACATAATTAAATTAACTAAAAGGATATTTTGATACATGGAATTATTACAAATTTTATGTTTGTTCAGTATAATTCCGTGTATCAAAATATCCTTTTGATTAATGTGATAATATAGTAAACCTCTACATATTAAATAAACTGATCATTTGAGAATGCATATTGTAATTCTTAGACTGTCGTCCGTAGAGCAATTAAAACATCAAGAATTAAATGAAATTAAGGGAGAAACAGTAGCAAAACAAAATAAATCAGTTAAAAACAGTAGAAATATATCAAAAGGGTAGTTTTGAATACAGTCATTTCAGTACTTACATTAAATATAGATGAAATAAATCTCCAATTAAAAGTCAGAGATTTTCAGACTGGATACAATTGTAAGGTCCAACAATATTGTGTTTATATTCTTGAGTTTTCAAAGGCTGTATTATGGAACCTCTTCAAGGATAAAATATTCTGCAAAATCAAACACATATTAGGAGTTAGTAAAAAGATCTGAATCATCAGTCTTGCCAGTAGCCAAACATCTGCCCTCGGAAAATTATCACTATGTACTTTTCTAGGTTACCAGTATTTGTATACCCATATGAGTCATTTAAGAATGAAAGAAAATTGCAATAAGTTCCATTTTTCTTCTCTAATAGCTTATGATATGTACTAACAGTGTAAATTAGTGGGTTTCACTACACCATTTCATTTACATATAGGCATGCATTGTGAGTAGATCCTGCCCACCTCCCCTTCTGCCTTCTCTTCCCTCCCTTCTCTCTGTTCCGCCCCCACAACCCTACCTCTTTTACTTTCAGGTTGTTTTGTTTTGTTCTAATTTTCCACATATGAGAGAAAACACATGATGCTTGTTGTCATGTATCTGGCTATTTTGCTTCACATGATGAGTTCCCGTTCTATCCATTTTCCCACACTTGACAGCATTTCATTCTTCTTTATAGTTGACCAGTACTCCTTTGAGAGAGAGAGTGTGTGTGTGTGTGTGTGTGTGTGTGTTATTTTCATTATCCTTTCATAATTTGATGGGTATCTACGCTGATTCCATCCATTTTTTAACTATTGTGAATAGTGCCACAATAAACATGGGCATGCAGTTATGTCTTTGGTAAGTGAACTTCATTTTCCATATATATATATATATATATATACACACACACACATATGTATATATATGCATATATATGTATGTATATATATGCATATATATATATATACACACACAGGAATAGGAGAGCAGTATCATATAATTTTACTTTTTTACTAATTTTACTTTTTACTAATTTTAGTTTTTTGAGGATAGTTCATACTGCTTTTCACTGTATACTATAATAAATTCCCACCAATAGTGCATAAAGGTTCTTTTGTTTCTACCTCCACATCCTTTTTGACAGTTGTTTTTTGTTTGTTTGTTTGTTTGTTTTTGCTTATTTTTTTGTTTTGTTATTTTTGAGACAGGGTCTTGCTATGTAGTTGAGATTGACCTGGAATTCACTATGTAGTATAGGCTGGTCTCAAACTCACACTAACCCTCCTGTCTTAGCCTCCTGAGTGCTGGGATTAAAGGCATGCACCACCAGTGGCTCTGCTTGTTTTTGATAATAGGCATTCTGGCTAGGGTAAGATGAACTGTCAGTGTACTTTTGACTTGGATTTCCATAATGCCTAAAGATATTGAACATTTTTTCATGTATTTGTTGGCTCTTTGTACTTCTTTTGAGAAGTGTCTTTTAGGATCATTTGTACATTTTGATTAGATTACTTGCTTTTTGTTGTTGAGCTGTTTGAGTTCTTTATATGTCTAGATACTTATCCTCTGTCAGTTGGATAAAAGATGTTCTATTCTATAGAGTGCCTCTACTCTGCTAATTGTTTCCTTTGCGGTGAAGAAGCTTTTTAAGATGTTGTCAACTCTTGCTTTCATTTCTTAAGATATTGCAGTTCTATTCAGGAAGCTGCTGCTTGTGCCATTATCTTGAAGTATTTCTCCTGTATATTTTTTTCAAATGGTTTCAGTTTCTGGTCTTACTTTAAAGTCTTAGATCCATTTGGAGTTAATATTTGTACAAGGGAGAGATAAGGGCCTGGTTTCAGTCTTCTACTGTAGATATTTAGCCTAGCTTTTTTTTTTTTTTTTTTTGAGACAGAGTCTCAGTATGTAGTTGAGACTGACCTGGAACTCACTATGTAGTCCAGGCTGATCTGGAACTCACAGTGATCCTCCTCCTCAGCCTCCCGAGTGCTGGGATTACAGATGGGCACCACCACGCCCAGCCTATAGATACTTAACTTTTGTAGCAACATTTGTTTAAGAGGCTGTCTTTTCTCCAGCATGGTTTTGGAATCTGTGGCAAGAATCAGTTGA